CTTGTCGCCGCTTTCGAGGGCGGCTGGTGGGTCCAGCGGAGCGAGGCACCGCGCGGACCTGAGCGGGACCTCGCCGTCCCTGGGGGGCCGCGAACCTCACGAATGCCGCTTGCAGAAATATATGCGCCCATGTCACGTCATCACCTCCGTATAACGTCTCCCGAGCTACTCATGCCCCGCATTGCGCAGGGTTTGGGTACGTCGCCACGGTAATTCGTGAGGTTCCCCGATGTGTCGGAGGCTCCTTGTTTGGCCATTGTGAGGGCCAGTCGCTGCCACCTCCCACGAGGATCGTGGCCCCCGAAAGGGGGGCCTAAATCGAGTACAACACGCCCTCGCTTGACCAAGCGCCTCCAAGATGGCCCCAAGAAGCCCTCCAGGGCTCCCCAGAGGCCCCCATGAGGGTTCCAGGAGCGCCCCAGAAGGAGGCCAGGAGGGCCACAAAAGGCCCCCGAAAGGCCCCCAAGAGGCCCCCGAATGGCCCCCAAGCGGCCCCAGTTAGCCCAAGGTGACCTCCAAGATGGCTCAAGATAGTCCAAGCTGGCTCACGATGGTCCCAAAATGTCCCAACAGGCCACAAGACAGCGCGAAGACGGCTCAAGATGGCCACGGAGCCTCCTCAGGATGTCGCCGAGATGCCCAAATCATTCAAAACGTATCGAAAATCAATGAATCCCAAACAACCATTTGGGCGACAGGTGGTATAACGAGGGTCTCTTTCCTCGTCCACAACCCCTCTTCCCTTCTGGGAGGGGAACCCTCCACCTCCCCCTCCTGGGGGTCCCTGGGATCTGGGGGGAGGGATCGCGAGGTGTCGGTCGGCCATTGTGAGGGCCATTTGTTTGCCACCTCTCACGAGAATCGTGGTACCCGAGGGGGGGGGGGGGGGGGCGCAAATCAAGCACCCCCCCCTCTCTTGACCGACCGCCTCCAAGATGGCCCCAAGAGGCCCTCCAGGGTTCCCTGGAGGCTCCCAAGAGGGCCCACAAAGCGCCCCAAAAAGCCCCAAGACGCATCCGACAAGCACCCGAGAGGCCCCCAAGAGACCCCCGAGCGGCCTCACAGAGCCCAAGATGACCTCCAAGCTGGCTCACATAGCCAAAAATGGCTCAAGATGGCCCACCAAATGCTCCAAGCGGCCCCAAGACCGCCCCAAAACAGCTCGAGATGGCCACGGAGCCTCCCACGCCTCCCTCGCTGTTTGACTATTCGTGTCTCTTCCTCCCTCCCCTGTCAACTCTCACGGGCATCGTTTCTGGATGGGTTGGTGGGGGTACTTTTGTCAGCGACCGCAGGCGAGAGCGCCAGCGGCGAGTCGAGTCAGAGCGGGCCGCGCAAAGATGAATTAACATAAAGCGGCGGGCCGGAGCCTCACGCGGAACCTCGGCGGCCAGGCCGGCGAGTGGAGGGGTGCTGGCGGCGGCGGCCAGGGAAGCTGCACTGCCAGGGGTTGCACGCATGCAACGAACTGCAGATAGGCTGACTGCCAGGGGGGGCGACTGCCAGGGTCTGCAAACAGCTGAATTGGATGCAAAGGGTGAGCACCCTAAGGACTGCAAAGTACCAGGGTGGCCAGAGCCAGGTGGGACGAGACCTCCACGAGGCAAATTGCGCGCGTGAATTGGCCAGCCGAAGCTGAGGCACAGCCAGGGCTGGTGAGGGCACGCGAAGCGTCAGGAGTCCCACCAGCCCTCTGGGCGTCGGTGGTTTAGAGCGTTTCTTTTTCCACCCCTCCTTCTTCCCCTTCGGGGAGGGGGTTACCCCTCCCCCCACCCCCTCCCCACTGACCTGGACAGGGGGGGCCGCGACGCGTTGGAGCGTCCAAGATGAGCCAAGACGACTCCAAGAGGGCCTCAGGGAGCCCAAGATCGCCTCCAAGATGGTTCAAGATAGCGAAAGATGCCTCACGATGGTTCCGAAGATGCTCCAAGACGCTCCAAGACCGCCCCAAGACGATTCTAAGTGTCCACTAGAGCTCCCCTCGGATGCCCCCAAGAAGCCAAAATGTTTCAAAACCCTGGGGAACATCAATGTGTTTGGCGTTCTCGCGCTTTCGCTTCCGATGCCCACCCGAGGCGTCAAGATAGCTCCAAGATGGCTCAAGATAGCTCCAAGAAGGGCCCAAGAAAGCCCGAAGACGGCGCAAAGAGCGCCCAAGAGCGCTCCAAGAGCCCTCCAAGAGCGGTTCAGGAGGCGATTTTCGAGGCTTTCCAGGAGCGACGCTAATTAGTGCTTCCGCTTTCTTTGACAGATCCCCTCCAGGATGCCCGAAGCCCCAAGATGGCCCCAAGAGGCCCCCCAAGAGGCCCCCAGGAGGCCCCCAAGAGACCCCCAAGAGGCCCCAAGAGACCCCCAAGAGGCCCCAAGAGGCCCCAAGATGGCCCCAAGAGGCCCCAAGAGGCCCCCAGGAGGCCCCAAAGAGGATCCCGAACGGCCCACATAGGCCCCCCCGAGGCACCCAAGACGCCGAAAAGCCCCTCAGGACGACCCTCTACTCGCCTGGGCGTCGTTTCTGGACGGGCTGGTGGGGATACGCGAAGCGTCTAGAATTCTGAATTAGCGCAACACTTACAAATATGCATAGCTGAGGTGTTCAAAACTATCGCTAGACACCTCTTGTAAGTTTCTCGTCATAGTTTTTGCTTGTCATCTAGCTAAAGGTGCGGACGTCACGCATGAATGGCAGGTGACACTTGCAGGGACGAATGAGAAGGAGACCTTGGAAGGGCATCAAGGATACATAGTAGGTTCACTCTGGTCCTCAACATCATGCTCCTCATCCACTTCCTCCTCCTCGTCCTCCCCCTCCTCGTCCTCATCCCCCCCCCCCCTCCTCCCTGATCCCTGCGCTTTGATCCGACCTCCTCCCTCCTCATTCGTCGCTCTTTACACAGCGTTCCTCCTTCATCGATCCTCGTCCTCGTCCTCCTCATCCTTCCTCCTCGTTCCTCCGCGTCCTCCTACTGCCTCAAGGTTACTCCTCTTCGCTCCTCCAAGTTCTAGGGGCACCATGGACCCCGTATCGCATCGTCGGAATATCGAAACCGAATCAGGTCAAGCCGACCATAATCGATATCGAATCGGGCCGATGGGAACGAATTCGCCCTGGCGAGCCCACAGAAGCCAAAATCTAAAATGGAAACGTGTATATATACACAAAAACAACACCATACAGAAACCAACACACCAGCAAAACGCAAAACATCAAGAACAAACGCATGCGGATGTTTGCGTTTCGTACTCATCCTCCATCAGTGAACGGGAAACCAACACAAACACAAACTTTCGGAGGTCTGCGTGGAGGTCTTGGGTCGGCGCAGGACCCCCCCCCTGCGGCGCGGAACGCGCCAGAGGCGCCGACGCGGATTCAAAGAAATCCGCGCGGATTCTCATCAGTTTATAGCTGTGTTTCTTCGATCCTCCTCCTCCTCCTCCCCCACCTCCTCCTCCTCCTCCTCCTCCTCCTCCTCCTCCTCCTCCTCCTCCTCCTCTTCCACCTCCTCCACCTCCTCTTTTTTTGGCAGCAACGTTCATGCCTCAGAAGAGATCGAGACCACTCCCCACTCCACGAAGATGCCGAACGAGTCCACACGGCAGAACGTGTCTGGGAGGCGGACCGCGATGACACGGAGCTGAGACACCTCCTTATTTAGCATCTGCCTGTGATACTGCACAAACAAGAGCCCATTCCCCACGAATTGCCACCCTCGACATGAATAAGCACGACAACCTCCAGAAGACAACAACCAGGCCCTGCTCGTGGAGGCCTGCTTCGCATTGCACGACAAGCGCCATTCCCACGAAAAAAAGACAATGACAAGCACCAGGATACAGGCCACTGAGGAAGGCGAACTCAACCAATCCGAGGGACGAATACCGAGAATACACACCGAGCCAGTACCCACAACAGATGTAAATTGTTAGTCAAACAAGAAAAAGGCGGCCTTCTCCTGGGTCGGGTGGCAGCCCGCGCGGCTCCCACAGCGCGCCACCCGCAGGCTCGGGGACATGAATATCGTCCAGCGATGGCCCCAGCCAGACACTGGCGACTGCCGCGCGCGCAAGCCACCAGCCAGGGGAGCGGCGCGACGCCGCGTCGCCAGCACGCAAAACTGGCTCGGTGTCAAGCGGCTCGCCACCCAGAGAGTCCTTCGCCTCGAACTTCCCGCGCGCCGCTTCCAGCAAGGACCTCGCCGCCGCGGCCCTCGCGGGGGAGAGAGCCTCCTCCCCGAGCCGCCATCCGCTGGCTCTGCACGGGACGCACTCGCCCAAGAAAGCCACGGCCCCGCACGAACAGCGCAAGCCACACGCCAGATCTGCGACCTGCACAGCGGACGGGGCGAAGGGCGCCCTGCTTTCCAGCGGCTCCCAGGAGCCTGCGCCTGGCACGAAGACGTCGGCGTCCGCGCGCAGCTCCATGTCACCACGCGGACGCCTGGCCTCGAGGCGCGGGCCGCGCTGCGCACGCCTCCACACACAGGGGGGCGCCGAGGCCGCTGGGCAGCGCAGTGCGTGCCACGACACGTTGCGGCGCACGCGGTCCTCCAGCAGCTCCGGGACACCGGAAAGCCTGGCCACCAGCGCCGGCCTCGCGATGGCCTCGCGGCGGCGGACCTCGTCCGCGGTCTCGCCAGTGCTGCAAACGGCCGCACTGTCCAGCAGGCCCTGCAGGCGGCTGATCTCGAACCGAGCCGCGCCCAGCTCGTCCTTCAGCTTGGCGATGAGATTATCAGCAGACGCCCGAGCCCCTGCCCTGCCCCTCAGCGCGCCTTGCGCCGCCGAGGCAGGTCCCGCAGCCACCATTGCTCCGAGAGCCCAAAGCCCCGCTCCCCCAAGTCCCCAACGCCCGCCGCGTTGCCCCGATGGGTTGGGGTCGCAGGGTACGCCTGGGGACTAGAGCCAAAATGGCTACGGAGCTCCTCCACCTCCTCCTCCGTCACCTCTTCCTCTTCCTCCTCCATCTCCTCGACGTCCGGACGCGTGGCCTCGCGAAGCGCCACGCATCTGCCCGTGGGTCCAGCACTCGCCCAGCTCGCACCACTTGCACGCCCCGCTGGCGCCGCCCTCACCGCCCTCGGCGGCCAGCGTCGACGTCGTCGTCGGGCGACGTTCGTCGTCGGTGACGTCGGTCGCCGTCGTCGAAAGCGTCGACCTCGACGGCGAACTCGGCGCCGTCGACCGTGCGCCGATGGCCGCCGCCAGCGACGCCGCCCCCGTCGCTGCTGTCGCCGCCTCCGCCGGCCCCCGCTGCACCCCCTCCTCATCTCCGCCCCCCCCCCGCTTCCTGCCCGTCCCCCTCCCTCCCCCGCACTCCTCCCCTAACCGTCCTCCCTCCTCCTCTCTCCTCTCTCCTCTCTTCCTCCTCCTCCTCCTCATCCTCCTCCTCCTCCGCCTCCTCCTCCTCCTCTATTCTTCTTCTTCTTCTTCTTCTTCTTCTTCTTCTGCTTTCTTTCTTCTTCTTCTTCTTCTATCTCCTCCTGCCTCCTCTCCTCCTCCTCCCTCCTCCTCCTCCTCCTCCTCCTCCTCCTCCTCCTTCCCCCTCCTCCTCTCCTCCTCCTCCTCCTCCTTTCCTCCTCCTCCTCCTCCTCCTCCTCCTCCTCCTCCTCCTCCTCCCTCCCTCCCTCCTTCTTCCTTCCTTCCCTTCCTTCTTCTTCCTTCCTTCCTTCCTTCCTTCCTTATTCCTTCCTTCCTTTCCTTCCTTCCTTCCTTCCCTTCCTTCCTTCCTTCCTTTTCCTTCCCTTCCCTTCCTTCCTTCCTTCTTCCTTCCTTCCTTCCCTCCTCCTCCCTCCTCCTACTCTCCTCCTCCGCCTCCTCCTCCTCCTCCCTCCTCCTCCTCCTCCTCCTTCCTCCTCCTCCTCCTCCTCCTCCTCCTCCTCCTCCCCCCCTACGGCACCACCCCCGCCCCTTCTCCCCAGGCCCGCGACGTGTTTGAGTCTTTCCAATGCGGGATCCCCGAAGTCCCGACTCGAGGGTGGATTTCTCGTCCAGAGTCGTTTGCTGGCGTTCGGGGCCCGGCGAGGGCCCCCAGAGGCCGAAAACGGCCAAAACCTTCCATCTCGACTGTTTCACAATGCGAGCAGGAGGAGGAGGAGGAGGAGGAGGTCACCCTTCCCCTTCCTCCCTCCCTCCCTTCCGACGAGCTTTGCCCCCCCCTTTTTGCTCGGCTCAGGGGCATCTCGCCAGCGTCACACCGGGACCGCTCGTTTCTGCCTGTCGTGCTGTACTTGCCCACTTGGTTTAGGTCGAACATGTCCTCCTACAGACGGATTTTGGAAGAAAAATTAGAAATGCAAAATTCTGAAAAATAGCCAACAATAGTCATCAACAAATAATTATCTGACTATGTTTGGACTATGTTTGAATCATCTTTCTGTAGAGTGGCATGCCGGACTCAACACTTGGTGCCCGCTCAGAACGTCTTTAGTCGTTTCAGTGTTCTGCCAGTTGAGACGCCGCGTTCTGCTGACAGGCATTCGGCTTCACCAGCGTCGCAATCCTAGAATCCGTCGACCCTGTCGGCATGTCACAGGGGCTGTTCCGTCGCTGCCGCCGTCGCGTCGCCGCCGCCATCACGACCCCTCCTTCCCCTGAGTCCGTCGCCACTCCCCCCCTCTCCTTGGGCCCTCATCCTCAAGCACGCCAGCCAAAGCGAAATACACCAGCCCATCCACAGCGAAATTAAGCAACGTTGTCATAGAGTCGAAGGAAAGCCCCTTCCCTTTGATCCCTTCTCCAGGGAGGGGGAACGCTTTTTCCCCCCCCTGGCGTTTTTTTGTCCCCCTGCGAAGTCTCCGCTTTTTTCTGCTCCCCTCCGCGCTTTTTGTTTCTTCCCCTGACGTTTTTTATGTTTCCCCTCCCTGGGGGGAGGGGGGGGGGGGGGGGCGCAACGTATTTCCTCCCCCCCACTACCCGGGGCGGAGATGGGCGCAGATGAGGCCCTGGAACTACTGGCGCGCGTCGCGCGATTGCAATGCAACGCGGTTGCAATGCAATGCAGTGCGATTGCAAACGCAATGCAATTGTAATGCAATGCGATTGCAAAGCAATGCGATTGCAATGCACTGAAATTGCAATGCAATGCAATGCAATGCAATTGCAGTGCGATTGCAGCGCGATGCGATTGCAACGCAATGCGATTGCAATGCAAAGCGAATGCAATGCATAGCGATTGCAATGCAATGCGAATGCAGCAACGCAAGGCGCTTGCAATTCAATGCGATTGCAATGAACGGCGATCTTGTATTGCGATTGCAATGCGATGCGATTGCAATGCCACGCGGTTGCAATGCAATGCGATTATAACGCGATGCAATATTGCAATGCGATGCGATTGCAATGCAATGCGATTGCCATGCAACTGGCGCAACGAGGCACCCCCCGAGACAACAACGAGGCTCCTACCGCGATAACATGGCGGATCCTCGCCATACCCGCCCAGGCGGTGGAGGCGGCAACGAGGCGCCCACCGAGGCGGCAACCAGGCGCCCACTGCAATAACATGGCGGATGCTCGCCGTACCCACTCAAGCGGTGGGGGCGCAAAGAGGCAGCAACGAGGCGCCCACCGCCTCGTCCCTCCTCCCTCGGAACTCCTCTGGACATCCTCCAGATCTCGACCAGCGGCCCGACCCGAAGCAAAGAAGACCCCCCCCACCATCCAGAGCACAATACAATGGAATGTGCCCTGGGCGACAGAATCTGGATCATCTGCGGGCGTCCCAAGATCACTGCGTCTTGTGCTTTTACAAGACGGCGGGGGGCTTTATTGCCCGTGTGTGCAGGCCCACCATCCCTCTCAAAAAGAAATACAATGTACACCCGTCCGCCCGGTGGGGCCCCAGGATGGCCAAGAGAGAGGAGACGGGTCCCCGAAAGATCTTCCGGGACGGCCGAGATAACCTTCAGATGGTCCAGGATGCCCCAGAGACGGGCCCTAGAAGCCTCCAATGTGCACGTGGCGGCGAAATCTCGGGTCGGGCGAAAGGGGGGGATAGCAAAGGGGGGTTTGAGAATCAGCCCACGTGGCTGATTTCCCGGGCCCCCGGCGCCCGAGGCGACTGTGTCTCGAGGAATGGGCTCCTCGGTGAGGCCGAAACCAGCTGCATTTCGAAACCCCCCTTTCCCAGTCCCCCCCTTTCCCCGGCCCGAAAATCCGCCGACCTCTTTCGGGGACTCCCATGGGGGGGGATCCCATGGGGGGGGCAGGAGGGGATCCCCCCCATGGGTCCCCTCCTGCCCCCCCATGGGATCCCCAGGGGATCCTATGGGGTCCCCCCCCCCCTGGGATCCTATCCCCCCATGGGATCCCCCCCCATGAAGAGTCTCCCGACTCTTCGGGTGCCCGGACGGCTGCCGGAGTCCTCCCGGAGGCGACTGGGCGCCCCCGGCAAATGTGGGCCCGGCCCCCGGCATACACGTTCGAGGTCGGGGCTATGGCTCCCGGGCCCCGGGGCCCTCCTCCTCCTCCTCCTCCTCCTCCTCCTCCTCCTCCTCCTCCTCCTCCTCCTCCTCCTCCGTCATATGTATAGCATCCGACCAGCCATAAACTGGGGGAGCTGTGGTCCTTACCCCCCTGGGGGAACCCATCGCATCGACGATCTCTCGAGAGGGGCGTCGAAATCGATGGGCCCCCCAGGGGGTCAGGACCACAGCTCCCCCAGTTGTGGCTGGCCTGCGCGTGTTCTTCCGCTGGACAGGCGGCATGTGGATCCCAGCGGTCCAGCCCCACGCCGATGACGGTCGCCGGCGGCAACTGCGCGAGCCAAAAGCGAAACGACAGCCCCCAGGTCGCACTGCCGGCCCTAAAAAGACGAACTTCGATGAATCAGAAACAAGACACCAAGACAGCGCAGGCAAGCTCAAGCCGGCATAACCAGGCGCTCTCTGGAGCAGGAACCGATATCACCAGGGAAAATTGGGCACAGATCCCAGACAACGCAGGCCAGCTCAAGCCAGCTCAATAAGCATTGTTTACGCTAAAACCAAGATCCGCCGACCACTTGGGGTTACCCAAACCCCTCCCCCGGGAGCCCGATCTGGTCAGTTTTAGGGGGGGCGGTCCCAGGAGCCCAGTCGAAAATATCATGAGAGGACAGAGGGCCTCCCATCCAAGCCTTTCCTGCGCATCGTCCCGACCAAGCTTTCGAGACGCGTCTAGCTCCTGCGACGAAGGCCATCTCGCGGCCTATACGAATCCAAAGACTACGCCCGCAAACAAAACCCCACCACCCCTCTGGGCGTCGGTGGGGCAGGGAGGCCTCTCTTCCAAAATTCTTTTCCCCTTCGAAGAATGATGTACCTTGGCTCCGTATTAATAGACGCCCCCCCCCACTCGACCAGCGGCCGACCCGAAGCAAAGACGACCACCCCTACCACCCTTGTCACAATACAATGGAATGCGCAACTTGCGGCAAAATCTGGCTCATCTGCGTGCGTCCCAAGATCACTGTGTAGTGTGTTTTTACAAGACGGCGAGAGGCGTGAAATTGCCCAGTGTGTGCAGGCCCACCACCCCTCTCAGCATCATCAACGCGTGAGATGCTTCCCCTTCCACCCGTCCGCCCGAAGGGGCCCCCAGAATGGTCCAAGAGAGAGGAGCTCCGAAAGATCTTCCGGGACGGCCAAGATAACCTTCGGATGGTCCAGGATGCCCCACAGACGCCCCTAGAGGCCTCCAAGAGGCCTCCCAAGAGGGCACCAAGAGGCAACATTCAGCGATGCTCAACTGGCTGTTTGAACGATTTAGCGTTCTCGCCGTCTCAGTCTCCCGACGCTCCACGACGGCCCAAGATGATAAGCACAAAGACATGATACCACTATGTGTCCGCCTCGGAAGCTTGCGCCCGACCTGAACATATAGCACACCAAATCTTATAGTGAATCGTTTCCCGAGCGGTACGGCCAGAAAGAGCCCGCCACGACGCATATACTAATAAGATCTCTGGGGGGGAGCGCGCACACAAAGAATGAGTACGTTGGGGTGACGCTGACAAGAAGCTCTCAAGATACCCAAGACGGCTCCAGAGACCTCCAAGAAATCCCCTAAAAGACCCAACAGAGCCCCCACTCGGCCCT